ATGCATGCTGTATCTAAAAGGTACAAGCTTATTAATGTGATACCATAGAGCAGGAAGAAAGAAGGAATTATTATTGACTTTGTAATATAGTATTGAAAAGATATATACAAGAATTGTTAATAATATTCACAACTCAGATTGGTCATGAAGCATATATACATGGAGTAGCCAGAAGAATAAATCAACAGGCTGCACTTTTGGGTGGTGAAAACAGTGAGGCACCAAAGAGTGAATGCCATGACACAATCTATGGTGATGATGATGATGATGATGGTATTTTCCAGCAACTGTTGATGGATCGGCCTTGTTGAAAAGGGATGGTCGAGAAGCATATCAACTTTCCACCTGGCCGTCGGATCCTTCACCAAACACTTTGCGAGAAAGTCTTTAGCCTCTTTAGATATTCTGTTATTTGTTGGAATATGGGGATTCTGGTCACTGCACCCAATCTTGAAGAGAACATCCTTTGGTTGGGCCTTGCTGTCGAAAGCCCACGGTGGCTTTCCGGTGAGCATGTGTAGAACCGAGGAGCCCAAGGCCCAAACATCCGATTCGGGCCCGTACTTCTGCTGGGCTATCGACTCTGGGGCCGCATAAATAACCGTGCCCTTGAAATCATCACAATTACTATTATTGTTGAAGCTCTTGCAGCAGCTCCCGAAATCCGCGAGCTTCGCATCTTGGCCCACAAGCAACACGTTGTGAGGCTTCATATCACAATGTACGTAGCCAGCCTTGTGGATGTGAAGGAGGGCCGAGAGTATGGATTTCGTGCAGCGGCTGACGGTGATTTCCGGAAGGGCAGCTTTGATGATGATGAGATTGGCAAGGCATCCACCAGATGCGTACTCGAGCAATATGTTGTAGAGTTTCTCCCCGTTTTCGGTCGTGATTGAGTCCCCAAAGCAGTGGATAAAGGGGCATGACTGGAATTTGTCGAGCACCATCTTCTCCTTCCTCAGTGATTCGGATTCGGAAAATTTGGCAGATTTCACTGTAATCAACGGTGGCAGATTATCTTCTTGGTTGGTGTTGGCCATGGAGACGAACCCAAAACCACCCTTTCCTAGGGTTTCTCCTCTAACCCAACCCATTCTCTCTCTTTCTTTGTCTCTCGATTCTTTCTGCGTGATTCTTACTCTGTGTGAATGGTTTTCTCTCAAGGTCGACTCTCTCTTTATCTATATGTATATATATATATATGCTTTTCGTTTGAGTAATGATCAAGACTTCAAGTATTTATTTAAGGTCAAGAGTGTAGGTTTTATATGATTTTGCCGACCTATCCTCCTAATAGAAACTTCTCCTCTCTCTCTCCTAATTCCAATATAAATTATTTTTTTCATATATAAAACTATCTCCAAGAATTATAATATAGTTTCCTTATAATTATGCACACGCTCTATAGTCTATATACATCTTTCTCTACAACACCAGTGTATTGTACGGGTGTTTGTTAAAAAAATTATTTTTAAATTTTAAAATTAATAGGAAAATTTGTTTTAAAATTTAAATAGTTCTCACAAATATATATATATATATATATATATATATATTATATATTTTAGCATAACACTTGTTGCTTGTGCGATTTACCAGTGTTATATTATGATAAATTTTTTAACTTATACCATATAATTATATTAAACATAAATATATTAATTGATAAATAGTTTTATTTTTTAGTTAATATTAATAAATAATTTTATTATTATTATTATAAAGATAAATTTAATTTATTTATTTTATACTTGCAATATGAATGTCAAATCGAAGTTCATCAAGAGATGATTAATTGTAAATATTATCTAGTAAAACCGATAATGAATACAAAAGTTATCAACTTTTAAAACAAATCAATGGTTATATTAGCAAATGATATTAAAATACAATTAATACATCTAAAATGACCATAAATAATCCGAACCTAATTATTTTGGATTGAAGTAAATTAAAATCCATCCAGTCAAGTAATGAAACATGAAATTTTGTCATATATGATCACGAAGCATGCGAGTCTGCCAATCAGGCTCAACACATTAAGATTTATATATAAAGGGGATTTATTCCATACGTACCTAATTCTATTGTTATAATGCATTTTTAAAGATCGTAAGGAGATAGAACAAATTTGAAACCAAACTAGTGATGGGCTGTTACTTTATTTTCTTCCTGAGAACTAAACCTTATAACAAAAACAAAAACAAAAACAAAAAAAAAAAGACAAACTGCAAAAATTATGGAAAGAGATGCACATAATTTGCTCTCTCCATGGCCTAAACTTAGACGGGATTCTTTAATTACTAAAAACCTTCATTTGTTGTGACTTGGATTCGAAGAGGTCGGTGGCTTTTTCCTTAGACCGTCTTCCATTGCTTTCTCGGGCTCGACCATGGTTCCACTCGGCAACCCTTTATTTACAGAAAACAAGTTCACAAAACTCAGCAACTTTCTCGACTGTCGTATTTTTCTTACATTTTCATGAGCCATACGGATAACAAAACAAGCTTGCATACGAAAGAAAAGTAGAAATGAGATGAGAAAAAATGCTGTCTTGAGAGTGATTTTCATGTTTTAAGTAAGCTCTCTGTAAGAAAAATAGACATAAAGATAGGGAGTTTAAAAGGCTGATGCAAATAATATCATGTAAGATAAGATTTGCCAATTTCCTGGTTGTAGTTTGTGGTTTTGCCTGACAAAACACGTGTTTTTGTGAAAAAGTTATCAACAAAGGGAATAAAATTTTAGGCTAGGATTAGTCAAATTGTGCCACACGATAGTGTTACGGAACACTTTTTTCTATTATTTGTTTTGTGCAATTCAAAATAAATCAAATTAGATCTTAATAATGGAGATATCATGCATTTATTATTTTAAAATTTCTTTAATTCTCAATCATATAAAGAGATATAGTAAAGTCGGAATGTATGTGTATATATTCAATTATATAAGGAGATATAATTAAGTCAACATATATGTATATATTATATGACTTTATTTTGAATTGTTTGCAACTTGGAAGAGCACAAACATGACTGGGGCTAATTTTGACCATTATTGAACATGGGTCATGTGACTTTCATGCTACTGAAAACATAAGAATGTGGTTGTAGCATCTTTTTAACTCTGACACAAAAAAGTACCACAGCTAGGCTTAGCTGGGTAAGCTTGTTTTCGTTGTCCAACTGAAAAGAATTTTTACAGAACATTCTCAACATCAATTTTTATAATTTTTCAATTATAACATATATTTAGCAAATTTATAAATTAGACCTCACTACTATTTTTATTTTCAAGTCTAGAGCATTGAGATGTGCGAGAACCAAGTGAGGTCTTTCAGAGTGAGATGTGCGACAATCGTTTTAGAGTGAGACATCTTTTGTGCTGGAGGGTGATTAGATATAAGTTATTTTGGATTTAGTTGAATTTGTTGGATAACTAGAGTTAATGTTAAAAAGGTTGATCGAGTTAGGCTGGAGTGAGATTTTGAATTTGTATTAATATTTAAAATACAATGACTAAAGTTAATTAGATATAAAAGTAAGAGATGGGTGATTGGAAGTGATGAGTAGATAAATATTAAATTAAAGTTGATGTGATATATAAGAATGATTGAATGATATTATTTAATTATATTGATAATATTGATGAGAGTTGAGTTGGATAGATAAATAGTAAATTAAACTGCACATTAGTGCATGTGATATTGCAAATTAGCGTCACACAGCAAATGATTCCACAAAGGACGGTAATTATTGCCAGTAATTCACACAGCAAAATTGCTTTTACGCCACGAAGGACGGTAGTTCACACAGCTAAAAATGGACAAGACCAACAAGTCCTTTATGAAGCCGAGTTAAAGGTACAAAACAAAATTGCAGTCCAGCTACTCCAACTAAAACTCGATCAACTACAATGGAAACTGCAAAAAAGATTTTCAATTACTCGGCTTTGGGAAGGTCGAGGTCCTTGAATATGGGACTATCGACACCTACTCCCATTGCGTTCAGACCATTGTCGACATATACAACTGCACCTGTTATGGCCGAAGCCAGTGGCGATGCCAGAAAGGCCGCCGTATTTCCTACCTCATCTGTCCAATTTGTATCCAAAATAAAATCACTCTTCTTTTCTTAATATTATAACAACAGTGACTATGGAATTTTCCTTTTGAGAATGTACCTGCTGACAATTCTTTCTGAAGAGGGGCATTTGCTAGGGAGTAATCGATCATCATGTCGATGAATCCGATAGCTTTTGCTGCACGACTTCTCAATGGGCCTGTAAATATTTTGCAGATAGGTCACAGCAGTGTGACTTGAATGAAATAGAATTATTGAAATTTGAGCCACACTACACGGGAAGTAATAAGATGAGATGCAATAAAAGGTGAAGCAAAGAAAATACAGGCACAATAGATTATTATTGTCAGGCAGTATTCCTACACTAAGAGGAAGAATACCAAGAAACTTAAAGAAATGATGTAGCAAGCGAGTCCGACATTATAAATTAAGAAATGCATTTCATTTCTAGCAAATATGATGAGAAATGGCAAGAAAAACACGTGAATGGTTTGAAAATAAATATGAACGGCAAACTTACCAGCAGATATGGTGTTCACTCTGACTTTATGTTTCCGTCCAGCCTCAAATGCCAGCACCTGATTTGAATCAACAATTATCTCTCCAGAAATAAGGAGAGTAGGAAAAAAAAAACAATAGCTCCCTAAAACCAGCAGAAATTTTATTCGTCGATATAGTTTACCCTTGTATCACTCTCTAGCGCTGCTTTTGCCGAGCTCATGCCACCTCCATATCTGTTAGATGATCAACACTAATAGTTATCTTCATTATCTATAGCAACATCAAGTTAGTAAAACAACCACATCAAGAGGTAAAATAAATTTCAAATACCCAGGGATGATTTTCTCAGAGGCAATATACGTTAGAGAAATGGACGAACCGCCTGAACCAAAAACCATCCATCAAATGTAAAAAGAAGTCGTCGATTTGATCTCGTAATTCATCAGAAACACAAAAAGAACAAAAACAACAAATAATAACATAATAAAAAAGTATGAACGCTTTAACAAATACATGCCTGGGTTTATAATTGGAAGGAAATGCTTCAGTAAGGATACATATGAATAACTAGAAGCAGAAATTGCTGCGAGGTATCCCTTTCTTGATGTTTCCAGCAGAGGCTTGGTGACCTAGTAATAAATGGTTAAAATAAAACAAAAAAGAGTCAACCAGTCAATATTACATAAGAAATGTGACAGCAAATATACCTCCGGCCCATTAGCAAGAGAGTGCACAAGAATGTCTATGCTGCCAAAATCCATTTTTACGCATTCCGCTACTTCCTGTGAGATATTACAGAAGCATTCACAAAATTGTTAAAATACCCTCAAGAAAAAACCCTGAAATTCCTAAAGAAAATATACAAGAAGTAAAATTACGCGTATTGATCAGTCATTATGTGTGTAGATGGACCTAACACTTAAATCATTGATGCCCCCGAGATGAAGGCTCCAAGTAAATTAGAATAAAAAATTGTACCTTAACTGTCCAACTACTGGATCCAGCATATCGTTTGTTCGCTTTTATCTGCAAAAATCCCAAACACAAAATCACAAAGCAGTTCTACGGAAATTGGGAAAATGTGTTCTATTTGAGAAAATACGTCTTCAGGAACATCTTCTGGAGCGTCAAAAACTGCATCCAATGCGTAAACTTTAGTGATCTCCATCAAAGAGCCATCAGGTAAACTGAAATCAAAACCTTGGTCGTTAGAGACCACATGTCAGTCAGCATTTAAATACGTAGACAATAAACAAATGAAAGGCATACAAATTTTGAAAAAAACATACACCCGTGATTCATCAAACTTCCCACGGCGTAGACTAGTTTCAAAAATATTCAATGCCTGTACAATAAATCCAACCATCAGCTCACGATGGTAAACTTAGTGGCACGAAACATGAAGCCTAACAATTTCAGCTATTTTACTCACTGGGACCCATGTTCCAACAAGAATTTCAGCACCTGCAGCAGCTAGAGACTTTGCAATAGCCCAACCATAGCCATTGTCATCAGCTACACCAGCAATAAAAGCTCTTTTACCTGTAAACAGTATACAATCGAGTTACTTCAATAACAGCAAATGTTTTGTCTCACCAAGTGGAGAATTTTACGATCCTCCATATTAACCGGTTAATTTGGCTAGACTAATAACAAAATAACAATGTGGCGTAAAAAGTGCCTCCTCAACTACCAATAGCACATTTCTGAAGACAAAAGCAAGTTGAGTCAGAAAATAAAACAGGGGCTATGTGATCAGCTTCCAATTTCTGCCTCCAAAACTTGGCAAACTTGGACGATACTAGCATTAATTTTCCTCGTTTTGCTCCTTTACTTGGATGTCCCAGATTTTGAACAAAAAAGAGAAAACCATGCATCAATCTTTTCAATTCAAAGTTGTTATGGGCTTTATTCACATAGCAAACATCATATGCACCCTGTAGGTTAAATTTGGTTCATTAGATTCTCGTGAATCTCCACAAAAATGCGTTTAGAAAATGTGCCTTACACGTCGTATGATAACATAAAGACTGCAGGTTAGATAACAAATTAACTGCCACTGTACAACAACCTCAAAGGCTAAGAATGTTTCCTAATTAGATTACAAAAGACCTCAAACCTTTCAAATTGATGGACAATCCTGAAGCAGGCTTGCTTTCATCAGGTTCAGACATTGCCTTAGTGGCTATCTTGTCAACCTTAACTGGAGACGACGTGAAGGTACGATTGAAATGATGTCCAGATGATATGTGACAAGCACTGGACAACCTAGCCCATGATTCTCCCAGGCCAAAAGAATTGACGACGACATTTTTCCTCCCGCTAAAAATTCTTCGAGAGAAAAGAGAGGGTTTTGCTACTGCGATCTGCCAGCTTGAAGTAGCTGTAACTGCCATTTTTTGTGTAAATAATTTGGAGAGGAACTGTGACCTGTGCAACAATAGAAGTCCAGAATTATTCCCAAAGGGAGCTACAAGAAATATACCAGGAGCAATGCCAACCAAAAAAAAAAAAAAAAAAAAAAAAAAAAACTTTTTAGTTGCCTAAAAGAATTATTTGGCTAAAATGACCACAACTGTGTATCCTTTTCGTTTACATGTAATTAACTGGCAAGTGAATTACAAAGACCTTTAAATGTATCCATTTACACAAAGTAGAGGACACCAACTCATTCAGAGGGTGATGTTAATTCTATTATCTTCGTTCAAGTTGGTCGCAAGTCGTAACATCCTTCAACAGCTCACCCTCTCTTGTTCGACACTTCGACTAAATCATAATTTTTTTGTTTTATTATTGTTGATACCATTATTGTTTGAAACAGGTCTGAATCTTAATTTTTAATGGTATTAGGGATCAAAATTCAGAGTTGCACTAAAAAAGAAGGAAGATTATTCCCTATTGTATGACACCGCAACTCATCCAAGACCATTTAAATTATAGACAGAACTCATGGAATTAGAGGAACAGGCAAATAGATAAACTATTCAAGAGACAAATTGGGTCTCCTAGACTTGAACCATTTTCCAGTGAGCAAAGAGCAATGAAACTTTCCACTTTTTCAGTTTACTTGAATCACCTAAAACAAAGGTAATGCTAGTGCAAAATCTGTGCCGAAGCAAGGAATTGCACCTAATTTCTGCAATTCTGCCTTCTCTCAACTATCTAATCTGAATTATAATCTCAACCCCAATAACCCGGAACATGTAAACAATTTATGACAAAATAAAAAATAAACAACCTAACCAGAATTAAGCTTTACTCTCAATT